GACCATTTTGGCGTATGATTAGTACGCATATTTTATAGCCTTCGATGTGTTGACCAGAGCGCTAGCTGGGTCTGTTTGTCTGATGATTTAATCTTCAAAAAATCTTGCTCCCCATTATTCATATAATCTCCATCACTACTTTGCATACTAAACAAATCCGCAATGAGTTTTTAGAGTGCTTCTTCAACCAATTTTGGTTATAGCTCCAGTTTCAGATTAGAAAAAAGGGAGGCCAATTAGCTTAGTTGACCCAACTTCCATTGAACGTATCGACAGATGAAGGCTTAACCACACGTCCGGGCATAGATCCACTCTGGTTGATGATTTCCTCAAGAAAACGGCAATCAGTTTACAAGCAAATGAATCTGGGTTTTCAGACGTTTATAAAGTGCCCATGTAAATTCTCTGTATAGAATACAAGAAAAATGATTCTGTATCAGGTGCGAATTTAGCGAGAAGTAGAAAACCGCAGTTAAGTCACATCTAGTATTTTCCAACAGATCTGTCTCCATACATCAGCCTTGTGATAATAAAACTTGAACTGTCTGAGGTTATACGAAACTTTTACATCCATTCATTGGCTTCCATCATGCTATGCTCGGGTGTTTTATCAAGGTACTGAAGTTTATAACGAACGGACTAAAAGTGCAAGGTCGAAAAGTTCCTGAAATCTACGCGGTTAAATGGTCTAGATTGTAATCAGAGAAGTATCAATGGAATGATTATGTATTCTTTTTCAAGTGTGTGAACAGAGGATAACTAAATATCATTCATTGTGTATGTATCCGTACTTTGGCGATTGGACAATCAACGTACGAGAGTCTTATCTTATACACATAAAAGTTCCAACGAATAATGTAGAATTAAAAAGAATATAGTACGCAGATCATTCTGGCTAATTTGTATACATTTATCGAAAAAATACCATACAGCTTATTGAAAACTTCGGCATTTCCATATAAGCCTATTTCACTCCCACAGCCAACTCTCAAGCAACTACTACTAGACCGTGTGAAGTGTACAAATTTTGAGTGCTGCGAGGAAGAAAAGTTTCATAAAATGACTCTTCAGCAGGTCAAGAATCCCACTACATTACTACGACATCTTAGTCCAATGCGTATTCAAGGTTATGCAGATATCTATTCATCGAGGAGTTGAGAAATGGGTCACGAAGATTGGCACAATTTCGGTCAATGTTTGTCCTGTCGCGAATTTTACTCACGCAACTCATATGTCTTTCGTTATGCTTAATGCTTTATTTCTGGAATAACTGGACACACTCAACCAGGTTGTAAAACCATTGTACATCTTGCCGGATGATCTGGCTAAGGCTTAGTGACATTTCACTGCAGCTCCAGGAGCTTAGTTTTGAATAACGTTCAGGTGATTTCATACAAATTGTTATTGCTCATGTGGCCACTTTTAATGTTTACTGTAGTCAATGTGAGATATAAGTTCTAAATGAAGCCATATCATTTAGAACTTGAAGATATGAAGATCCAACATTTTTTAGTGGGGCAAGAGAGTGTTGGAAAATCTATGGTTGAAATTCTAGATACCAGTTGTTTCAGTACATAACCGACCTGTCGGTCAAATACGATTCCGGGACCAAGGTGATTATGTTTTAATTCCAGTTGTTAATTCTAATAATAGTAATGAATGCATTCTAGATTACACAAAGTCTGCATCCAGTACACAGTAGAACAGACACGTGATGGACGCAGAGAGAACAGGTACAACTGATTGTAGAAACTAAGATTCTCATATAAGCTATGACGAATGTGGTTCTTCTTGGTCTAAATTACGCCATTTTGGGCATTCAGTGTCTTCACAGTATATAAACTGTTAAGGTAATCTAAGAACACGTGAACATCGTCGTACTTATCTTTCACAGGCGAAGTATTGCTATCATCTTTACACAGTGTCGGTGAGCTACCTTCTCCTTCACCACTTTGGTTTATGCACGAACATAAGTGTTCTGGATTTGTAGGATTTAGCATGAGCTGGTATTCATTCACTTATTTATGTCACTAGAACAGTAGACCGAATCCAATATTGTGAACTTTACATGATATAAAGGCGTAGTCTATAAGTTCTCATGTTGAGGTCACATCATCATCTTTATTGACAAGCCCTATCGTGATGGTAGATAATGTTCCTTTCTAAAATCATTGGAGATAGAATTCAAGGCGGTAACACAACAATATGTTCGCTATAATCTTGTCTGCAACATCTTTATAGACGTAAGATACCAAACCCAGTCAAACCAGAATATCTCCAGTAAGAGTAATGTGGTCAAAATCAATGCCAAAGATTTATAGAACTACTTAGTCCGGGGATTTAATTACCACTACAACTGTAAATGTAGGACGTTATACTAAAATTCACCGTCCAAAAGCCTTATACAATCATACTTTGTTCTTTTTTCATTTAACTTCCATACACTAGGGTTTTGAAATTTCGTTACAAATTACTAGTACTCTCAGTTGAACTAGGGCTTTAATGAAATACAGTTGGGAGGTCAGACTTGCGATAGGCAGAACGGGATCATAGTGTACCATTTTAACAGATAATAGCACATGACAGAAAACATTGTTATGTCCCTTTTCGTCATAATCAATGACCGAGGACCAATGAATTGAGAAAGAGAATACAACAAACGCTCTTAAATATATATTTCTGTAATTGAATTCACTAGCATATACAGTGGTGATAAACAATCAGGGCACATTTGGACTAAATAGACATAGCTGGACTGGAATAATAGTAATACTGGATTAACAGCAGAACGAGACCTCTTTATGATTGGGTTCATATTGACATTGGCACTTAGAGACACTAGTAGTTGTATTCGAATGAAAAACAACACTAGCAACAAAATATCCAGTAATTGTATTGTAGTGAAATCACTCTAGCACTGTGTTCGATCCTTACCATCATAAAAATACAAACCATCCAAAGTGTTAATTAATCAGCGTATCTCAAGTACTATTAGATGAAAATAGTAATGGGATACGACCAACAGACAGATGGATACACAGACAGCCAAGCAATGAATATTACGACCCACATGAAAGGTATTAGAATTAATCACAAGTTTGTAGTGAACGAAGAACTCAAATGGGAAGACTAATTTATTGTTTAGTGCAAAATTAAATAGCACCTTCGTGAAATATGAAAACTATACATTGAATAAGATATTTGCACATCTCCCCTTAGCTGTTCTTTACATGCTTCATGTTTCTTTAAATTCTGTTGTCATTACAAATAATCTGTTTATATAATCCTATTCTCTCCAGTCATTCCATTTGTGATTGGTGTTTACTTACTTATTTACGCCTGTTACCCCTCTTGGAGAAGCATAGGCCGCTCACCAGAATTCTCCATCCAACCTTGTGCTGAGAAATCCTTTCCAGTTGTTATTCATCCTTTTCATATCTGCTTCTATTTCCCGGCGTAATGTGTTCCTTGGCCCTACTCTTTTCTGCTCCCCTTTCAGATTCCAAGTTAGGGATTGCCTTGTAATGCACATTCGTGATTTCCCTAAAGTACGTCCTCTTCCCTTTCAACGTCTTTTCCTAATTTCATCTTTAGCTGGAAGCTGGTTTGTCCTCTCCCATAAAATGCTGTTGCTGATAGTATCCCGCCAGTGATTGGTGTTACGCACTATTTATATTTTTCAACATAAGTAGCGTACACCACAAGTTGGCCAATAGAATTGAACTAATATATTTGACAGTTATATACTCAGTTGGGTGTCGTATTGCAAAATGAATATACAGTTATGTTCATTTAATATGTCTGTATCAAATACCATGAACATCCAATGGTACAATGACATTAAATCATACATATGACAGTTCAATGTTGCTTCATTCAGGATACGATACAAAAAAATGAAATGAACGTACAACCATACGCATAAAAGTCTGAAATCCATATCACGAAGATTTTTCTACAGAACCGGAACACTAACAGTAACATGACTTCTTGTTTATATGGGTCAACTTTATTATGAATTGTGATAAGTCTTGCTGATTGAACGCTATACTAGGATCGTGAGATAGTCTCGTAACCTCCAAGCCAGAACTACACAGCAATTTGAACACGGGAGAAAAGGCGTAAATTATACGAAAAGCACTTTACTCCAAAAGTTCATTTATGTACAGAAAATGTAAGGTTTTTACAGTATTTTTTTGAAATGTCCTTAGGTTTTCCTGAAGATTCTAGAATGCTACTAAACATAGTAACAGTGTAGTAATCAGTCAATCAAAACCTCTTTGTGATTTCATTTGGGTGATATTTCTAGTAAAACTTATAATCAAACACTGATAGGATAAAATACTTTTTGATGTTTCCTTAGCTTGTCATGTTTATTACGAGAAATTTTCAGGAACGCCCTAATAAATTGACCTTAATGGAATTTCAAAGATTCAGTCAGATTTTCTTTTAAACCTAACTAAGGTTATATTTATCATTGAAATAACAGTTCACTCTGTGAAGCTAGTCAAGTCAAATAGATTAAAAGGAAGGTACCACGATTAGATGAATTCAGAGAAACTATCCACAAACTTAAATTCACTAAGTATTATTTGTTTGAATCTTACCATTGATGTATTTAAACTGCAACTGATCAGTCTCACTCTCTCTATCAGGACTCAGTGACCGAGTGGATAACGCAATGGCACTTGAAGCTAAAGATACTGAATTCGAGTCCTAGAGAGTGAACATCAACTCTGAGATGCAGGTACATCCATCTGATGAGTCCCAAATAGGATGAAACGCGCGTTAAACTAGATTCCACTGCTAGCCACTATCCATCTTTGTTGCTTATCCACGAACTTGTTAACACACACCCTCATTGAAAGTAATTTTACGATAAAATGATAAAACACAATCATATAGACATCAATATATTTGACAATTTCAAGGGAGAAAAATACAAAAGTACTTCAAAAGGTAAAGAAATAGTTCTTTGTTCTATATTGTGTATATATATACTATTGGATAACACGACGTTGTGGATCAAATATATTCTTTTTGAATTCAAGTATCACTTCAATATCTGGTTGTGATATTTGTTTTCTACCAGCTTTTGAAGAATACTGTGCTAATATCTCATCAGGTAGGTCATCTAAATGAAGAATATGAGAAAAGTAGATGTGATAATAAAAGGGTCATATAGTCGCTGTACTTGACCTATTAACGTACTCATTTTATTCAACTACACGTCTGAATACAAAGTAAAAACAAGAGTTCTACTTAGTTTATACTAATAAGTCTCAGATACCTGAACTGAAGTGAAACCGGATTCAAACACGCAATCCAGTGATTTAGAAGTGAGGTGTTTGGATTAGTAAGCAACCTTCTTCCCACCGAAGTCCTGGACCACAATAACCAAGAGATATCGAAAAAGGAAAAAAGAATCCATCCGTTCACTATACATAAAAGCTATTGAGGGCAACAGTTATAGTCCTCTGACATTTATGAATGTAAGGTACATCTCTGATGATGACTTCTTAACGACTTTTGGAAATTTGTGTCAATAAATCATAAATTGAAATGTTTTCCAAGAAACATAGATACCTCGATGACATGTCTGATTATAAGATGAATTTCTTCAGTGAAACTATGTGAAAGTGAAAAATGAGTTAAACGTACATTTAAACATGTGTACATATTTATTTTTCATTTACTTAACCACATAAATATTGGTACAAAGGGGCACCACATATATATGCGCCACACAAATCTCATTCGATTTGTGTGTGCTGTGATACTACCCAGGTGATCAAACTGAAGCAGGTGGTTTTCTCACACGGCCACACCCGGAGCCTTTGACCTAAAGATCAACAAGGCAGTGGAGCATCGTAAGGAGATGCAGTCCCATGGTAGCTGGTGATCAACGATTGATTCATACGCCATTTGTTCCCTCAGAATACTGGAACTTATGTGTACCATTGGTTTGGAATGAGGGTTTTCTAACTCTCCTAGATGGACTTTACGTGTCCACCAATCCGGTTAAAGTGCCGGACACTTGCTTTTTGTCCTCTCAATTTCGTAAATAACACCTCTGGTGTGAGAAGGCAGTGAGTAGGACTTTCCTGAACATATACACCAGAAACTAGTGGTACCATTTTAATGATAGAGGTGAAGCGAACAGTAGAAGCAATAGGCAAAATGTTAGCCCTATTGAATATTAATGATTCAAATAATCAAGCCAAATAGCTGACACATTTATAATGACATGCGTCATTCAATGGTCGCACCATGATTTCATAGAGTTATTGTCAGTTCCAGACATTTAGGCATCCTAACTGTAAAAAGTGTACAGAACGGATAGAAACTCATGGATATACAAAATAAAATAAGGCCAATAACAACACTTCAACAGGAGCTGATGACTGTTGAAAGAAAATCATGGATAGATTAAGAATTCATATCAGCAGTATAACCTAACACAGCTTGATACTGACTGTGATCTAACAGATTTATAGAAAGACCTTAGTTTTATTTCAATCCTTAACTGTCGTGTGATTACAATAAAAGTTTGATCGTACAAAAAGATGATTAAAATCCATTCAACCACTACATTATAAGGTCACACTAGTCAAGGAGTTCAACCTTTAGACATTAAGTGGCAGATTAGAAGCGATCTACACCTAATTTGGTTTGAACAACCTTGTAGTATCAATAATCATGATAGTTGAAATACATCTTAAAGAAAAACACACCATTCTATACCTGGTAAAGAGTAAATTTCGTGGATTGGTTGAGCTTAGACATTAAAACCATTGGATGCCGGCCAGATCAGTGGTCTATCGGTTAAGTGCTCTGGTGCGAGACTGGTAGGTCCCGGGTTTGAATCCCGCGAGCGCCGGATCGTGGATGCGCACTGCTGAGGAGTTCCATAATAGGACGAAACGACTGTTCAGTGCTTCCAGGTTTTCGATGGTGGTCTAGTTTCAATTGACTAATGATCTCAACTACATAAATTAACCAAAAATTAAGCACGATTAAATAAACATACTTTCTAAAGCTAAACGACATTTACCACTTTGACCAAAACTAGATTCAATATAACCATATATACGTTGAATATGATTATCATTAGAAGAAGAATCTTCATTTGATTTAATAATTAAATAAGCTCGTAAACCAATAAATATATCCCAATTAGTTTCACGTTTAAATAAACCATTAACAATACACATTCGTGGATTAACAACTCGTTCTAATTGACCACAGCGAGTTTTTGATTTACATACCTATAAAAGGAGATAGAATTATGATACCAAAGCATCAAGTATAATAAAGACTATATGGGTAATCAGTCAGAACTGAGTAATAATGCCAGGATGTTTGGGATGCGTTTCCCCTATCTAAATGTAATTTGTTACTTCAAGACTGGCCTACATCAACACCTGAACTAAGGATAGGGAGCGAAGTAATCGAACGCGTCGACAAATTCAGTTATCTTGGAAGTCTGACCAGCCCTAATGGGTTGGTGTCTGACGAAATTTCTGCACGGATTCAAAAAGCTCGTTTGGCTTTTGCCAACTTACGTCACCTATGGCGAAAGTGAGATATCAGTCTATCAATTAAGGGACGAGTATACTACGCAGCAGTTCACTCTGTTCTACTTTACGGATGTGAAACATGGCCATTAAAGATAGAATTTACTCGCAAGTTACTAGTACTTGACCACAGATGCCTTAGAAATATTGCTCGCATCTGCTGGGATCACCGAGTAAGTAATAGTTAGGTTAGGCGCAGGGTATTAGAGAATGATGGGGTGATGATGAGGTCATGAAACCTTATCGACTGAGATGGTAAGGCCACGTGATACGTATGCCTGAACACCGATTACCACGACGCGCAATGCTGACTTGTGTTGGAGATTGTTGGAAGACACTTTGCGGCAGCCAAACCAAAACGTGGCATCAGTGTTTGAAGTCACTAACTTCTAGTCTGTGCCATGTTGGCAGATGCAGACTACTTGGTTGGAGTTCGCGTGACTATGGGACTCCTCAGCAGTCCCATAATAGGACGAAACGGCAGTCCAGTGTTTCCAGGTTTTCGATGGTGGTCTACCTTCAATTGACTCATGATTTCAACTGTGAAAACAAAAATAGTAACAAATCTATGATCAAAGATTGTATAAAACCCCCAAATACCCTGGTACGACCGAAAGTTGGAGGGGCCCTCCTCACTGTCGAAATGCTCTAACATGGCCACGAGTATATAGTCTCTGTCAGGGTACTCCTACTCACTGCCTTTTCGTGACGAAGGTGTTGTTTACGAAAGTGAGAGGACGAAAAGCGAATGTCAAGCGCTTTAACCGGGTTGGTGGACACGAAAAGTTCACTTAGGGGAGTTGGAAAACCCTCATTCCAAACCAATTGTGCACATGGGCTCTGGCATCCTGAAGGAACAAATGGCGTGTGAACCAATGGTTGGTCATCGGCTACCATGTGACTGTATATCCTAACGATGCTCCATTGCCTTGTGGGTTAGACCTTTACGTCAAAGGCTCCAGGTGTGGCCTTCTAAGAAAACCATCTACTTCACTTTGGGCACCTGAGGAGTATCACAACCGTCACACAAATCAAATGAGATTTGTGCAGCGCATATATATCTGGTACTTCCTTGTACCAATATTTATATGGTTAAATATAATAAAAAGAATGTAAACAAACAAAACAAAAACAAACGTACAAGTAATTTACTTAAATAATTTGTTTTATAATTTATATCATTTAATTGTATTATAACATGACCATATAAAGCTATACGACAACTTGTTATTGAATAGGTATCTAATTTAGCTCCAATAGCTAAACCATTCATTGGACAAATAACTGGATGTTCAAATTCCAATAATACATAAAGATTATCATCTAATTTAATAGAAATCAAAGAGAGAAAAAAGAAGATAAGATTCAATTCAGAATGAATGATTTATTCTATTTCCTTTAATTGTAACGTCAAAAAATGCCCTGGTACGGCCGAGAGTGGGAAGGGCTTGTCCTCTCTTTCGAAATGCTCTCACACGGCCACGCGTACACAGTTTCTGCCATGGAAGTCCTACTCATTGCCTTCTCGCAGCGAGGGTATTGTTTATGAAATTGAGAAGACGAAAGGCGAATGTCCGACACTTTAACCGAGTTGGTGGATATGGAAAGTCTATCTAGAGGAGTTGGAAAACCCTGATTCCAAACCAATGGTGCAGGTGGGCTCCAATATCCTGAGGGAACAAATGGCGTACGAAACTATTGGTAGTGACTGGTTTCCATGGGACTTCTCAGCAGTGCGCATCCACGATCCCGCCTCGCGAGATTCGAACCCAGGACCCATCGGTCTCGCACGCGAACGCTTAACCTCTAGACCACTGAGCCGGCATCTAACGGTGTGAATGTTCCATAACAACACGAAACGGCCGACCAATTATTCCACGTTTTCCATAATGGTCTGGCTTTAATTGACTCATGACTTCAACAACCGAAACTACTGACATCTCTACAAAACACCCCTTTTGATATTATTCAACATATTCTCACTAGAGACTAGCTTCAAGAAGTATTTCATGAAGTTCTAGTGAGAAGCAATGACCAGCGGAGATGAACCAGATCTGTTGTACGATAGTAACTCACTGAAGACAATGTTGGATATGTCGCTCAATTTTGTGGATTAGTTGAGATTAGAAATTAACACCGTTGGATGTCAGCTAAGGACCTATCAGTCCTGAGTTCGAATCTCGCAAGGCGGCATGTTTATGAATTATTCAACGTCAATTAATTAACCAATTATGATATATGTATTTTATTTATTTAAATACATAAATATTGGTACAAAGGGGCACAACATATATATGCGCCACACAAATCTCATTTGATTTGTGTGAGTGCTGTGATACTACCCAGGTGCTCAAACTGAAGCAGGTGGTTTTCTCACACGGCCACACCCGGAGCCTTTGACCTAATGGTCTGATCCACAAGGCAGTGGAGCATCGTAAGGAGATGCAGTCCCATGGTAGCCGATGACCAACGACTGATTCATACGCCATTTGTTCCTTCAAGATACTGGAGCCCATGTGTACCATTGGTTTGGACTGAGGGTTTTCCAACTCCTCTGGATGGACTTTCCGTGTCTACCAACCCGGTTAAAGCGCTGGACATTTGCTTTTCGTCCTCTCAATGTTGGTAAACAACACCCCTGATGTGTGAATTCAGTGAGTAGGACTTCCCTAACAGAGGCTATATATTCGCGTGGCTATGTGAGAGCATTTCCAGAGCAAAGAGCGAACTCTCCCCTCACTGTCGGTCATACCAAGGCATTTATATATTCATATATAGAAAAACAATAATAATCATAATCATAATAACTAACCTATATCATTAGAAATTTCATCAATATATTGATACATTATTGTTTGATCAAATTCACAAGGAGTTCCCAAATCATTCAAATCATGATTATCCAATTTTATTTTAGTAAAAAATGTTAAACTACTTAATACTGTTTCTTGTCCAATAAATATATGTAAACGTGATTGACTTTTAATAGATAATTTATAATAGGATACTTTTTTAACATTTGATAATATACATGCATAACATGGTATTAAATTATCGGTTGAAGTAATATCACCAACAAGACCACGTTCTAATAAATTAGAATCTAATTGTGGTACACATATACCAGCACGATCACCCTAAAAGAAAAGAAAATTATATGAGGAAGGAAAATATTACAAAGGGGGTTTTGTGGAGATTTTAGTAATTTAATATAGATAAGATCATGAATTAGTTGAAGCTGGACCACCGTGGAAAACCTGGAAGCACTGGACGGCCGTTCCGTCCTATTATGGGACTCCTCATCAGTGGGCATCCACGATCCTGCACTCGTGGGATTCGAACACAGGACTTACCAGTGGTGATTAGCTTCATGAGGGAATTCTCAGAGTTCTAATGAGAAGTCTGATATACTTGATGTTATTACGAGTTCACCTAAGTCGGTAAACGGAATGAAGGTTAAAGGACACAGTAACACAATAGGCTATTCTAATCTGTTGTCCCCTGCCTTGCTAACTAGATCAAGAGGTTTTGATGAGGTGTACAGAATGTATTCTACATGCACTCAGAAAATACGCATACAAATCAAGCTTAATTAATACAATGATATAGACGCCCTAGAGTTGAGAATGTTAGACGACTCTCTGTGTTCGATCATCGTTGTCTCCGAAGGATTGCTGACATACAGTGGCAACATTATGTTAGTAATGCAGAGGTTCGGCATCGTGTGTTTAGACGCAGAGACGATAATTCAATTGGTGTCACCGTCTTGAAACATCGACTTCGGTGGCTTGGATATGTCCTACGAATGTCGTCCCAGAGGATTCCACGTCGTGCATTATTTACCGACGACGCTGAGACTGGTTGGAAAAAGCGGAGAGGTGGTCAGTGTATGACATGGTGTCGTGGTATGAAAGAAAGCTAAAAAAGCTAGCTTCTGTTGGTCCTTCACGACTCCCTGTTTGGGGTTCGAGAGATGGTGCAACAGTGGCTAGAGACGTTATCAGATATGGCTCAGAATAGAAGCCAGTGGCGAGCCTGCCGTAACGTTCTTTTACTTTCTTCACAAAGAGTGGTTAGAACTTTCTTAACTGAGAGAGTTCTTCTGATTGTACATTTCAGTTCCCCCCATCATTACTCTTCTCTTTTTTCTCATCCTATTTTTTTTCTTTTATATATACGCATCTTCTCTCCTTCTCTTCACATTATTTTTGTTATGTGTGGCGCAAAAATATCTGATGCCCCTTTGTACCAATATGTATGTGTTTAAATAAATAAATAAATAAATAAAGACGCCGTTGGGAGAGTCACAAAAAAGCATACTAGAAAAATCCGTCAACGAATGACAGCCAATGATTTCCGAGTGCAAAATGTAAGCTGGAGGTCAACTAAGCGTTACTTAGCGCGGAATCATAAAATTCAAATTTTCAGAATAAAATTACAAAGTTAGGACGTTTTCCAAGTGAGTTCTCGGGATGTAACATCCTCAACAAAGTCGTGACCAGTGGAGCTAATCAATGTCAGGTAGAGACAGATATCTACCTCAGCAAAATGAAAGATAGTTACGCAATTTCATGGATTAGTTGAGGTTAGACATTAACACCGTTGGATGCCGGATCAATGGTCTAGAAGTTAAGGGTTCGTGCATTGCTGAGGAGTCCTATACTAGGGCTAAACAGACATTCAGTGCTTCCAGTTTTACGATGATGGTCAAACATCAATCAATTCATGATCTCAATCAAAAGCTTAATAATCTTCATAACCGCATACTGATATAGGTATATATCGGAAGTACTGAAACTATGCTACTATGGTATTTCCTAACGTAATAGGTCAAATTCAACTCACCAACATCCTTATATGGAATCATCTTCAATAACTCATGATTGCTTGAAGTACAGGTTTAAAATAAAAAGACACATCTAATTGTTGATCAGAAGGGGTTTTGTGGAGAATTAAGTAGTTTCATAGTTGAAATCATGAGTCGATTGAAGTTAGACCACCATGGAAAACCTGGAAGCACTGGACGACCATTGGATGCCGGCCCAGTGATCTATAGTTTAAGTGCTCTGGTGCGAGACTGGTAGGTCCTGGGTTTGAATCTAGCGGGTGCGGGATCGTGGATGCGCACTACTGAGGAATCCCATAATGGAACGAAACGGCCGTCCAATGCTTCCAGGTTTTCCATGATGGTCTAGCTTCAATTAACTCATGATTTCAACTATGAAAAACATCTAATTGTCTTTTAACAGGTACAAACTTATTACTTGTATATTTTTTTCTATGGCTCAAAGTGGAATCTAAAATGTATGTTACTTTTTTATATGGAACTCAGCGACTGAATGAATCAGTTATATTGATAGAATCTGGTCAAAATGAATATATAATCATAGAGGTTGATTGTGAAGACATAAGTACGGGTAACTTCCAGGACCTATTAATGGACTATTATTCTATCTATATTCTTATTGTTTAAATATTGAGTGATTAGATTATGTATATCTATATTCATCTTATTATAAACTTCATTTTGACCTATGGATTATTATTGTACGAATGATTGTCCCTAAATTATATTCAGTTTATTGATTATTGTCTCCCAGATTCACAGCCACATTTGGCTTAATCTTGTACAAATATCGTTTTCTATTTTATGGTGTGATGTGGCCTATCTTTCTTGTGTATAAACCAAGTATGCTTGAAATAAATGATTCGCATAACAAAAGCTGTAATTGGTGTTCTGGATTCCATTGGAAAGGCTAGAAGGACAAAGGATCAATAACGACGCTAGACTGCGCATTGGTTAGCACAGTGTTAAGATTAGACAAATCGTATTCCAATTAGTGGATAATTCACGTGATAAAAGCCGGACATAAAATCATAACGAATTGGATACGGTTCTATATTTATAAAATCATAACACTGATCGTTTGTTAATGTGGATGATCAACAACGGGGAATAATAAACTCTTGATGATATGAAACTATTGAAAGACTTACCACAAATTCTTAATTCAGTAACTTGGAAAAAAGTTTTTAAAAAAAGAGACATGAAATGTGTTATATCCCCTGATGAATTATGAATGGTAACTTTTAGGTCTATTTATGGATCAATGTAATATGCCTATTTCTTATTGTACAATTATTACGTAACTGAACTATTCATATTCGTATTTCTCTTATCATTAGCTTTATTTTAACCTTTGACTTATTATCATCCGATTCTTGAGTTATAATCAGTTTATTGATTACTTTGGTTTGTATAAAAACTCAGTTTGTTTGTAAATAATTATTCATATTGCCAAGGCTGTTATTTGTGTTCTGGACTCAAGTGTCTGGGCTAGACAGATAGCAGGACCGAGTAGTAATCAAGACTGCTCGTACGATTTTATGTATCATTGGACGTTTATGTATTAAGAGGGCATACGTTATAACAACTGGCGACAGGGTAAAAAAATGGCTTTAATTTCCGATCAATTTCAGTTGCTAATCCAGAGACAAGAGCAGCGTTTTAAAAAGAGTCAGTTAGATTTCATTGAGAAGTTACACGCGAAGCTGCTGAATCACCCATGCTTTGGGGGTGCAACGGAAGTTGACGCATTGATTTCTAAATTGCGTACAGAGCTGAAAATCGATCGCAGAATGAATGAATATGCCAGTGAAAGCCTCAATGAATCCATGACAAACAGTAAATTAAACGAAGCAATAGCAGTCATACATGATCAACCCAGCAGATATGCCCTATAACCGGTCCAAATCATGTTATTCCCCAAAACGGACGTGCAAACAGTGAATTATCCTGTTCACAGAAAGAAAATGTCTTGCTAAATGCTTATGAAATTGCTGCAGTACCTGCCCACGAAAAAACGGGAAACAAATCGAGCAGTATTGTTAATACAATGACGCCAAATGAAACTAGTAATAATGCGGAAAATGTTTCTAACGAATTTAATGATCAAGATTCCTTAATTGTTCTGCCAGATTTAGATTATTTTGATGATTCATATGTTCCTGTTGAACTCTCTTATAAAAGTGGGAGAAAAATGTCAGATGCATTAAATGATAATCAAGAATCCAATACGTTTTTCAAAGAAACTGATTATGATTCATTATCTACTAATGAGGTTCCGAATAAATTCAAGGAAATTGTTCCAGAAGAATTAGACGCTGGTGATCTCAAATCAATTGTCGTCGATCCTCATGATCTGGTCAGTTCTAATGGATTATCTGTTAAATATGACATGTTTTATATTATGTCACTTTAATATTAACTTGGCTATGTGAGGATCCAACAGTCTTTCGTGGGGGAGGAGGAATTCGAGAAATTTAAAATCCGGATATCAACTCCGGATTTCTCAAAAAAGGGAGGTGTTATATCCCCTGGTGAATTATGAATGGCAAATCTGAGGTCTGTTTATAGACAAATGCAATATGCCTATTTCCTATTGTATAGTTGTTAAATAACTGACCTAATCGTATTCGTGTTCCTCTTATCATAACCTTTATTTTGACCTTTGAACTATTATTATTGATTACTCTCCCCCTATCCACAGCCACATTGGTCAATTATTGTACAAATGTTATTTTTCTATTTTTTGGTGTAATGTGGTCTGTTTGGTTAGTATATAAACCCAGTATACTAGTGAATAATGATTCATATTGTCGAGGCTGTTATTTGTGTTCTGGACTGAACTGGCTGGCCTAGGCAGATCGCAAGACCGGTTGGCAATCAAGACTGCTCGTACGATTTTATGCATCATCATTGCTCCGATCAATAAATCCACTCCTCTCTAATTGCACGTTCATATATATTAAGAGTCCATACGTTATAACAAAATGCATAAAATTCCCTGAAATAACTAAATAAAACCTAATAAGCTTGATTGTGATTGAAGATTTTATGGTACTAAGCTGTTGATGTTGAGCACTATGTTGGACACGACGTGTCCACCTAGGGGAGTTGGAAAACCCTGATTTCAAACCAGTGGTGCACATGGGCTCCAGTATCCTGAGGAAACAAATGGCGTATGAATCAATCGTCGTTCACCGGCCACCATGGGACTGCATCTCCCCACGATGCTCCACTGCCTTGTGGATCAGACCATTAGGTCAAAGGCTCGGGGTGTGGCCCTGTGTAAACCACCTGCTTCAGTTTGGGCACCTGGGCAGTATCACAGCTCTCGTACAAATCGAATGAGATTTGTGTGGTGCATATACATCTGGTGCCCCATTTGTAACAATATTTATGTGTTTAAATAAATAAATAAAATAGTAACATACTGGTCCAATTGACTGAATAGGTTGACGAAATCTTTGAATAGATTTAATCTTCTTTTGAATTCTTTGATAAGGTAAACCAATTGTCTATTAAGATAATGAATATAAGACAAAATTTGGAATCTTAAGTAACATTAAGACGAAAATTATGAATAAGGCCAATCTTCTGGTGTAATAAGATCACTCGTAGAAAAAATGGATAAATTCGGGCTAATTGTTTACTACACAGATGATACCAACTGAAAAACTACTATGAACTGAAACGCTCATTAGATAGTTTTGTTTCATTTTTTTCAGGACTCCTCAACAGTGTAGATTTTAAGTTGGATTTATACTGATTAGAACAATCTAGTGAATATCTACAACTCAGCCCCCAAATGCCCTGGTATGACCGAGAATCTGAAGAGTTCGCTCTCCCTCTCGAAATGCACTCACATGGGCCACGCGAATATATAGCCTCTGTCAGGAAAGTCCTACTCACTGCCTTCTCACACCAGGAGTGTTGTCTACGAAATTGAGAGGACAAAAAGCAAATGCCCGACGCTTTAACCGGGTTGGTAGATGTGGAGTGTCCACCTAGGGGAGTTGGAAAACCCTCATTCCAAACCAATAGTGCACATGGCTCACTCCAGGATCGTGAGGGAACAAATGAAGTATGAACTAATCATTGGTCACCGTCTACCACGGTACTGCATCTACTGACGTTACCTGTAGGTCAAAGGCTCCGGGTGTGGCCTCCTAAGAAAACCACCGGCTTCAGTTTGGGCACCTGGGTAGTATCACAGCCCTCACACGAATCAAATGAGATTTGTGCGGACCATATATATCTGTTGCCCCCTTTGTACCAGTATTTATGTGTTTAAATAAATAAATAAATTTCGTTTTACTATTCAAATATTCTGCACCATGGATCTGGAAACTATATTTTTAGACTAACCATTTTATTTTTCAATCTGTTGCTTAATTCTATAATGAACTAGATTGCTTGCATACTCTGTACAAAAATAATATGCCATTTTTCATAAGACAAGAAAATATACCCTGTAAAGACAATTATTACAATCATTACTGTATAAGATGTTCTATACTAGTTGAAATGCTACTGATACACACTTTATGACGTCTTGAATTGTTGTCCTAGATTCGAATAAATAAAAATGATACGCTCTTGACTTTCATCGTATTAAATGAGATTAATGACACTTTTCAAGAATGTTCAACTACTGTAAGTGTTATATCCCGATAACAATAGTAAGTGGTAACTTTAGGATCCATTTATGGACCAATATTACGCATATAATCTTTATCGTATATTTGCTAAATAATTAAACTACTCATATTCATGTTAATTTATTGTGAGCTTTATTTTGACCCTTGGACTATTATTGTATGATTTACCATTCCTGAGTTATATTCAGTTTATTAATTGCTGTTTCCCCCTATTCACAGCCACATCTTGTACAAATGTTATTTTCTATTTTATTGGTACGATGCGGTCAGTTTGTTTGCTGCATGATCTGCCATCTTTCACAGAAAACACTTCTGTGAAATATGCGGAACGATCTCACTGTATGTATTATTTATTTTATTTAAACACATAAAAATTGGTACAAGGAAGCACCAGATAAATATGCGCCTCACAAATCTCATTTGATTCGTGTGAGGGTTGAGATACTGCCCAGGTGCCGAGACTAAAGCAGGTTGTTTCCTTAAGGGGCCACACCTGGAGCCTTTGACCTAAAGGTCTGATCCACAAGGCAGTGGAGCATCGTGGAGAGATGCAGTCCCATGGTAGCCGGTGACCAACAATAGGTTCATATGCCATTCGTTCCATCAGGATCCTGGAGCCCATGTGTACCATTGGTTTGGAATGAGGGTTTTCCAACTCACCTAGGTGGGCCCTCCATGACCACCAACCCGGTTAAAGGGCTAGACATTCGCTCTTCGTCCTCTCACTTTCGTAAACAACACTCCCGCCACGAGAAGGCAGTGAGTAGGACTTCCCTGACAGAGGCTATATATTCGAGTAGCCATGTGAGAGCATTTCGAGAGGGAGAGCGGACTCTACCCACTCTCGGCCGTACCAGGGCATTTGGGGGAAAAAATTGTATGTATGCCGATTTCTGTCTCTTTACATCCCATAAAAAGAATGAGTTTTTGTCTTGTATTGAATAGTGGTCTGCTCTTCATGATCTCATAATTAATCCGTCTAAATGTTAAGCTGTTAACTTTAGCCTGACATATAAATAGCACCTGAACACCATGTTGGGATCCTATAATGCTTGTACCCTTAGAGACTCTTTGATAAACACAATGTCGGCTGCCTACAGTGTGGAAGAATGTTTCTTCTTGAGGGACCTGAAAAGAAAACTGGATTAGTACTGGTCTTAGAGACCGGGAGAGCGTGATCAAAATGTTCAAGAAAAATGAGTAGAACTGAAAAAAATTACGTGAGAGATGTTTTAAAGGAACGGATTTTGTGAAATCTGGAAGTGGTTTTCTCTAACTATTGTTATTAATAACTTTTATCTGTAATTACTGAATACCTCGATTACTACGTACACATATTCCCTTTATCATAAGCTTTATGTTCTGTGCTAATGTGGTATGGCAACTCGAACTGATGTACGTACGTACGAAGTTCTACGTTGTGACTGACTGACTATCATAAACTTTATATTAACCCATTAACCAATGTTGTACAGCAAACTATTCCTAATTTGTTCCCAGACTATTATTTACAGTTTCCCCTACTCGAAACCACTTTTGGCTTCATCGTGTATAGTTATTATTTTTCATTTCAAGGTGCGAAGTGGTCTGATATTCTTGTATACAGACTACGTATACTTGAAATATAATGAAATAGATGCTGGTTGCCAACTTCTAGATCATAAAGTAGGGAAGACAGAAGCTAAAGAATCTTGAGCCAATGGGAACTAGCTGTTGATCAGACGTGCATCGGTAAAACCCGAGAAATTAAACTGCGAAGTAAGAAGTGAACACACAAAATAACAAATGAGGATTAGGATTCTGATTAGTGATTTGTCATGCAATATTGTTTAGCGGTTATAAGACGTAATAAGGAACACCAAAAGTTTTGAGGCAGTAGGAGAAATGACTAACTTGAATAAAATGAAGTGAAATCAGTTTAAAATATTAAAAATAAAATACAATATCAAAATTTTGCAAGTTACTTGTCCAACACTTGTAGTCCCAGATAGCACAGTTCCAGTAAGAATGGTACCTTGTCCAGTAATTGTAAAACAATGATCCACAGCAAAGACAAAACCCATATCTTTCAATTTATTACGCTTCTCAGTTGGATCATGTATTGATCGTGCCAATAAAGTGATTAAATTTTCAACTTCTTGTGAATTGTTTACACGTTGTTCAGATGTAAATTCTACCTGTTACACAAATTACAAATTGTATCGCCTAATGAATGAAACAAAATATTTTTGATAGTACCAATGAATAAACAGTAAACACGAAAGTGAATGTATTATAAACAAGAATAATATAGTAACATAGACAAGAGACAAAGAATGAACTATGCTTCAATCTTAGCCCACAAATGCCCTGGTACGGCCGAGAGTGGGAAGAGTCCGATCTCCCTCTCGAAATGTTCTCACATGGCCACGCGAATACATAGCCTCTGTCAGCGAAGTCCTACTCACTGCCTTCTCTCACCAGGAGTGTTGTTTACGAAATTCAAAGGACGAAAAGAAAATGTCAGACGCTTTAACCGGGTTGGTGGACACGGATAGTCTACCTAGGAGAGTTGGAAAACCCTCATTCCAAACCAATGGTGCACATGGGCTCCAGTATCCGGAAGGAACAAGTGGCGTATGAACCAATTGTTGGTCACCGGCTACCATGGGACTGCATCTCCTTACGATGCTTCACTGCCTTGTGGACTAGACCTTTAGGTCAAAGGCTCCAGGTGTGGCCCCTTAAGGAAACCACCTGCTTCAGTTTGGGCACCTGGGCAGTATCACAGCCCTCACAAAAATCAAAAGAGATTTGCGAGGCGCATATTTATCTGGTGCTTCCTTGTACCAATATTTATATGTTTTAATAAATAATAATAACATCTTGGATTAAACTGACTCCAGTAGTAATTTAATAAAATAACACTATCGGGAAAATTATTAGAACCATGATTCTTTAAATATGTAAAGTTTGTGTAAAAACTGTCGTTAGAGTTCATACTTAATTTTCTTTCTTGATGAAATCACTTACTATAAATGGGGAAGACAACAGCTGAGTATAGAATTTAGCTTTATCAATGTTTAGTGGTAGCTAACAACTTTATGTATTATCAGAAGGGGTTTTGTGGAGATTTAGTATTTTTATAGTTGCAAGCGTGAGTCAATTGAAGCTAGTCTATCGGTTAAGTGCTCTGGCGCAAGACTGGTAGGTCCTAGGTTCGAATCTCGCGGGGCGAGGTCGTGGATGCGCACTGCTGAGGAGTTCCTCAATAGGACGAAAAGGCCGTCCAGTGCTTCCAGGTTTTCCTTGGTGGTCTAGCTTCAATTGACTCACGCTTGCAACTATGCAAAAAAATTTATATATCCTTCGTCATTCAGGACGCAAATACAGCTTGAAATTTTTTAAATGAAAAACCCATAAATAATTTACTAATGATATACTCTTGGTTAAGATGAAAGTGCCAAACAAAGATTGAAGCTAAAACTTTCTGACATTACCAGTTCGGTAAGATAACTTTATATCTCAAAATAAAAATACGATAATATGTAGTAAATATCGGACAAGTAATTCCTATTCGGATGTTTGGTAGCCGATAAAGTTATAAGACAAGTCTCTAACAAAAATAGAATGGAACAATGATGTAGAAGGAAATATTGAGACAATGTTTGGATGCGCAGTGCTTAATAGGTATAGAGTCCGTTCAAACCCATAACCTGATGGCTGAATCAAAGGAACACAGCAAGCAAAGTTGTAGCTCCCACTTCATCTATGATGATAAAACGCCATCTGGAATTATATATATATATATATATATACATAACTTAAATTCTTGGTAAACCGTCTACAGTTATCTCAATGTTTTTGACTTACGAACTAAACTATCAAACTGCTATCTACAAGTCCACATTTGGAAACTCTGACATCAATATTGTTTAGTAAACCATGATACAAAAACAGTGCAACAACCCACAAAATAAATAATTCAAACCAATAGAATCTCATGCATTGAAATGATAAGACAAAAGACAAGATACTCTTTGACACCATAGGAACAAGAATATTATTGAAGCAGAAATCTATCCTCATTGTCATCGAACAAGCTGTTTTATGGACACTTAAATTGGATAACTCGTTATCAAATGACGAAGTTTAATTATAAAAAAGCATATATGTGCCCGATTCTACGTTGTAGCTGACTGACTGACTGATAAAAATGTGCCAATAATAATTTTGAAATTGTTTAGATAAGAAATGGCTTCAGAAGAAGGAGAGAAGGGTATAGACACGTTACACATGTACAAATGAAAATAATTGATATTATACCTGAACACCACCAGGAGCAGCTGAAATTTCGGCAATTTCTGACTGTTTAAAAATTGTGTTCTCCAACGTTTTTAGGATACGCTTTTTCATCTTTGAGCAGTATAATCACAACAAATTACAATACCTTCTGAATCGATTCTTCTCTTTGATTTTCATGTAACAAGTCACATTTATTGAGAACTACTAACATTTTCTCACAAGCTATCTCACCAATCACCAGACACTCGGCAGTTTGGGTTTGAAATCCCTTAGTAACATCGATAACGAGAACAACGATATCGATTATTTGGGATCCTAGAATTGAGAATAATAATGATAAAACTATAGTTTATCGTTGCGAATAAGCCATTCGCTTAGAAAAACTAGCTTTAAAAAGTAAAACCTAATGACAAAGCTTTAAATTTGCATTTAAAGGATAGGATACTCAGGACATATAAAAATATACTCTGAAACAAGAAAAACAAATGAGTGGTAGCCTGATAATTGATTGGCGAATGGTTGGATTTACAGTACCGCACCACAAAAACCGGTTTCTTTATGTTGCCGAAGTTTTATAACACAAATACAACAAACAAGCAGCCACTTAGCACAGTTTCGTCTATGTTTTACTACTATTTAGACTGTCTGATAGTATGTAAAGAGGGAGAATGTGTTTATGAAATTTCAGCGAATGCATTTGAAGTAAATCTAACGTTTCGCCGGGCAATATGGTTCTAGCTTTTTCAATGAAAAATAATAACAAGGTTGATTAAACTATTTAGAGTCAACAGTTATCAAATACCCTGAATTTACACAGTCCAAGGCTCACAATGCTTAAAAATGCTGTTTGGCTTGAAATCATTTGCACTAGAGATTTTAGCTTGTATTTATCATTTATTCATTTGCATACAGTTCATACGTTGTTCCCACTACCAAAACTACCGTTTTTGAGTTAAAAATACAGTAATTGAGGTAAAGATTGTTTATGAGGTCGATAAGAGAAAAAATAGCCAAAATGGATGGTACCATCATGAACCCGAGCACAACATAATCACTTCAATTTCCTTTCCGATCTAGTGAGATTACATTATATAGTGTTCATACAAACACTTCGGTCTTCAGTAATAAGGATAGTAGGTTGATGAACCTGCGTTAATCCTGACAGATTTCCTTCCAGTGAAGGTCCAGCTTCTTTTTGAAAATGTTCACTGATGGTGCTGATACCACTTGTTCTGGTAAAGTGTTCCAGTCATTGACCACTCGATGAGAAAAACGGGACCCCACCTTTAGTTTATTAGATCGCGGTTTCAGAACCATCTTGCTATGACCCCGGAGATTATTAGTGCTGGAGGGAACAAAAAGGTAAGACATATTAACACCCAGATCATAATTAAAGATACGAAATGCCAGTATAAGGTCACCTCGCGTCCTACGATAAGATAAGGGGAAAAGATTTAGACGTTTTAAACGCTCATCGTAAGGGAGTTTACAAAGACCCTTTACTAATTTTGTCCCTACACTCTGGACACGCTCAAGCGATTTAGTATTCTTTATCAGACAAGGGCTAGCTGCTTGGATACAGTATTCTAAGTGTGGCCTTACATAGGTGGGATATAAAATTCGAAACATATCCTCGTCAAAGCATTTAAATGCTCTGCGAAGCGACCATAGCGCTCGATAGCCTTTGGAAGCAACCGCATTGCAGTGCGTAGTAGTTTTTAAGTCGTGACCTATAATTACTCCTAAGTCTTTATGCGCATGAACGCGTGGCAGAGATGTACCATTAATGGTATAGTGGTAACTAATATCGTGCCCGATGTGCATGAACACGCTCTTCCTGGAATTAACTTCCAGGCCCCAATCATGAGCCCACCTAACTAATTCGTCTAAATCTGCTTGTAGATAACAACGATCAGTCTCATTTCTTATTGTTCTCCAGAGTTTAACATCATCCGCAAACAATAACGTCGACGACTTAAGTAATAAAGGTAGTTCATTAATATACAGAAGGAAAAGTAAAGGGCCCAAGATGGTGCCTTGGGGTACACCACTTTTGACCAGTTTCCATTCGGATAGAGTTCCATTGACCCTCACTCTCTGTCTGCGGTCACATAAGAAGCTTCCTATCCATTCCTGTATAGCACCTGTTATACCAAAGCTCGAGAGCTTTTGCATAAGACCTAAGTGTGAAACCTTATCAAACGCTTTGCTAAAATCTATAAATATCACGTCGACAGACTGGCCGTTGTCTAGGGCAGCTGTCCAATCCTCTCTCGCAATGAGTAAGTTAGTCAAGCATGAATGCTTGTTACGAAACCCATGTTGCTCGGGAGTTAACAGTTTGTACGAATCTATGTGGCTCAGTAGCTTAACCCGAATTAATTTTTCAAGTAACTTAACTACTATACTGGTCAGGCTAACAGGCCGGTAGTTAGATACTATCCGTCTCTGACCATCCTTAAATATAGGACTAAATATGGCGTCTTTCCAGTCTCTAGGTAGTTGAGCCTGTGAAAGGGACATATTGAAGAGCATCGTGAGCGGTCTTGAGATAATGTCCGCAAGCGACGACAGCAAACGTGGGTGTAACCCATCGGGGCCCGGTATCTTACAAGGTTTTAGGTTAGTTATCAAAGGAAGAACTATATCCTCTGTCACGTGTAAAGGTCCTATGGCTGGTATCTCATTGTCAACGGGACAAGTAGTTGTAACACTACACCTAGGGTAGACTTCACTGAAATAGTTAGCAAATAACTCCGCTTTCGCTAGATCAGATTCAGCCAATAAAGCTGAATTTTCGCTTAACAGTAATGAGGGGATACCATCACTACGTTTCGTCCGCCTTTTAACGTACGAAAACAGTCGCTTCGGACAGGTACGGCTATCGTATGCCAACTGTCGTTCGTAAGCCGTGCGGGATTTAGCTATGGTCTTTTTACATATATTCCGGATTTTTTATATTCGCATTTAAATGATGCCTGACCTGTTGACAAGAATAAGTCCCAGAAGTGTTTCCTACGCCTCAAAAGCTTCCGGGTTTCCTTCTTAATCCATGGAGGGCAATATGATAACTTACGTGCTGACCATGGGATAAACGGTTGAGTTACGGATTCGAACGTAGACTTAAACCTATTCCATGCATCATCAATCGACCCATCAGCATCGACCGACCAGTCAATTGAGATAGCATAGTCCCTGATTGCCGGAATATGAATGACAAGTGTAAAAAAGTGAAACCAAGAAAAAACATCTCAACTTAAAACCCAATGTTTAAGGTAGAGCTACGGTGCTTAAAATGTGTAATACCATTACTTTTAGCTGGAAGTAATCATCATAATAAAACGATTTGTTTGTATGGCGACACACGGATACACGATAGCCTAATTAAAATCCTATTTATGTATTAATACATGTAAAGAACTTAGCCCTACAGTTTAAATAGCACTAGCAGATGGTCATCCTTAAATATTATTAAAGATTCTGAAGGTATAAAAATACTTGCCAATCCCAGAGTCGGTAAACATCACAAATAATTGATAGCAAAAAATGGAACATAAATGGAAGGATTGTTACTGTAAGTAATCACAAACCCCGAATTTTGAGGGATTTCGGGTTTTATTTTAAAATCACATAGAATATCGAAGTTTTCGTCAAAGTTCAGGGAAAATCTGGGCCTTGCGGATTTACCCAAAGTTTCAAGTTATTTTGAGTAAAATCACCATCTAGAAACACGAATTCTAGGTTTTCGTCGAAACCTCCCTAAAATCTCATACTGCAGGTTCCACAAAATTTTCGAAAAATTGGTACGATTTTCCACCGAAATCGGGAGATTGGTATAAAGAGGAAAACAAGGTAACTCACCACACAAAACCGTTTTTATAAGTGATCCATGCCCGGGACAGTCAACAAGAGTAAACTGAACTTTTTCGAAGTTTTCGCGTATTAAAGGTGTGAAAGGGTAGCCCGCAGAATCCACGGTAAAAGAAGAAAATCCGAGATCAAGCGTGATACCTCGTTTTTTACTTTGGGGATTTTTATCAAACGCGCTAGTACTAGCAATAGTGCTTAAGACTTTCGCTAGACTCGTTTTTCCTGAGTCGACGTGTCCCAGCACTCCCACGTTAATGTTAAGCATCCCAATTGATTACAGAAATGACCTTGAGGAACCGAATTCATCTGGGCTACGGTTCAGATGGTCTCAATGGTACTGGGTGGGATAATGCTTTTGCTTGACACGCTGCCGTATCTGGTAGCAGTAGATCATTGGTGTAAACAGTCAATAACTTAGCTACATTTAACAATTAAAGAGAAAACAGAATTGGTAAATTATAGTGGCATACTGTATTTGGTCCTTGAGGATATGTCAAGTCTCCTCCTAAATGACTCCTGGGAAGTCACTTGGACTACCTAAAACTGCAGTGAGTTCCGAAATTTAACTAGTCTTAGGAATCAGAAAGTGTTCCTAAAGTCCGTTCTGTTGTATTGAGTCTCCAGTTCCTGGGTGTTACCTCTAAGGTTTATGTTGAGACTAAGCTTGTGTAGGTGTTTAAGAGGATGTTCAGGAGTATTTAAGATGCCGTAAGGCATTGTAAGATCACCTAAAATACGCAAGTACCTTAATTGGTAAGGATTTATTGACTAGAGGGAACCCATAATTTTCGACGGTATTGAGAAAAGTGATACCAACCGGTAGCTTGAAGGTTCGCCGTGTTGAACTCACTGAAAATTGGCATGATATGAGGCAGCTTTCAATTTTCTGGTAGTGCGCATCGGCTTAGCAAATGTGAGAACATCACTCTCAGCGTTGTTTCTAGGATTGAAGCCCCTTCCCTGAGTATAGCATAATGGACCATATTCTGGTTAGGATAGGTGTCCCTGTTTAGGTGGTGGAGTTTCCGGACCATCAAGTCAGTGCTCAGGTTCTTTTCTGATAGTCCTGTTGAGTTGCAGGTGAAGCTCTCGTCAATATAGTTAGTATAGGTCGGTTGAAATTTCCGAAAGTACTATTCTGCCGGAAAGTCGGTGGCATCACTGTCATTGTTAGTTTGGCCATTAGGACATACCAATTAGGAAACTCCTATCTCGACCAGTCGAAGAGAGGCTGCATGATGAAATAAGCTTTTCAGATTAGAGACAAATTTGTCGATAAGCTTTATCTGATTCTGAAGTCTATCTACTCGTATTACCTCTATGCTTTGGTCCTTTATTTATTTGAATTACCAGTATGCGTTGTTGTTACCAGATCATTTGTATAGCACCCAGTAGTATCTTTTGCGTCTTATCAAGAAAGGAACGACACTTAATGACTGTAGTGTGCTTTTAGATTTTGAAAACCGTTTGGAAATCAGATTCTTTTGTGATACATAAGATCATGTGCAGTAAGAAATCCCAATGAGCAGCTACATCAGGTTGCAGTGAACGTCGCAGTTTACTCGCTGTAGTATGTCCTGTAAAGCTGACAATTCCAACTGTTTGAAATTTCAGTGACTGTTGTTAGTAGAATGTCTTAACTGAGTTTTGGTGATAAAATTGAACGATATGACGGCGTGATCGCTTTTCTACAAGGGAGCCAAGAGTGAGGGTTTGTTTATCAGGAATTCTTAATTTGTAAATACAGCCTTAACGCAATGGCATCTGACAATTTCTCCACCGAGTTACTGACTTAACACTTTCGAATAATCTCACATCCCTAATGAGGATGGAGAAGCAAGATCTGATAGAGTTGTTACCTCCAGCGTATGTTCAGCAAAGTTTACTTCAGGGAGATTGGGGTCTCCGATAATCAGGATATGAGTGTATCTGAGAAGAGTAGAGTGAGATAATCTAGCCAGCATACTATCTTCGCACTGAATGTAAACAATGGACTTCCCACAGATGACTCCAATTCGATACCTCTAGGTGTTAAACAATCCTAATGAACACTACAGGTTCATCAAGTTTAATAAACTTTTGCGTGTTCACTTGACATATGGTGTATCGTTGGCTCCTGGTCCCCAACTTAAGAAGATATCCATGTTTCAAATATAGCTATCAGATAAGTATTATTAGTACCACCGAGTTCACTCAACTCATCTATTTAACTAGATAAATTCGCGACGTTCATTTATAGGCAGCTGATGCTTTCCATTGGAAACGAGTCAGCTTTCTCGTCCTATTCATCTGAATGAGTTCTAAGTGAGTGGATAGGCAAACCACCTACCCGAGGTTTTCTGAATCGGTAGACCTTGTCTCTTCCTAGATTTTTCCATGATTTTGACACACAAAAATGGAAAGGTCGGCTCCAACTTGCTTACATTATCTGGACCATCCGAATGCCTGTGAATCCCAGTTGCTAACCGACATCTGTTGTCACTAAATGCTTCGAGAGTGGCAGCCGCCATATGAGAGGATGGAAAGGTCAACTTAACTAGTCAGGGTCTCAAATCCCTGTCTTTGATTAGTCTCACTACTTGTTCAGCCAATGTTTTCAAATTTAAAGGACTACCCTATGAATTTCCGTTCTGGAATATGAGATTCTGCGTAGTCAGGGTCCGTGTTTTCTAACACACCTTGGAGAATGATATTTCTCCCACGAAAGAACGTCTGGCGGGATTCCTTAGAGATGTTCCTGATGAGATTGTGCTCAGAATCTGGTATGTTAGTTAGTTTTATTATATCATTATCTGATTTCAGCAGGGAATCCTACACATCGACAGTCTTAGTGTGTGTTACACGAAGGACTGTTGAGTGATCCAGGTTCTTGGAATCTTTACTCCAAATGAGCCATGTAACCATAAGTGGACTCTTTTGGGAAGTTTGAGCTTCCTGTTCAACCCCTCCCATAACATTCTGCCATTTTTATCCTGCAGACCGAGAGGGATGTCAGAGTTTTCTTTTAAGATCATAATTGTGAGAGAACCATCGCGAACCGTGACCATTTTCCCAGGTTTTCGAGCACGTTCCAATTGGGGTTCTTTTTGCCTGACAATTGAAATGTGTTTCGAATCCCAGTGCTTTTTGTTGGCTATACGCGCAGTCATAGGAATAGATTTCACGGTGAAATCACTACCTGGTTTCAGTGCAATAATTAGGTTGTTCTGCTTCTTTGACAGTGAAACTCGACCCCTTCTAACTTTGTTGACGAGTGCCCAGTCGCCTCCAGAGATTTTGAAGATCACAGTTTCATTTAGGATGCGTGTGTTGGGAAACCAATATTCGATAATTTCATCACGAGGTCGCATAGAGCGATTGATTTGTTAGCGCCCGACGGGTGGCAGTCCAGCTAATCTACTGAACTGATTCTGCTCAGCGTGGCAGTTATTTATGCATTTGTATATGCTGCAGTTTAGGCGAATGCATTTCTGGAATTGTAGTTGTAAGATACAAACCTAGATTCCAATAGGTCTAGATGTGGCCGAATAACCGAGGAATAGTTTTATACACTCGTGACCCAATCAAAAACAGAACAAGGTATTTTGGGCAACATGGTTCTACATTTCATCATATATACAAATTTACTTAAACGAATATTATCACCCGGTTATTCAACCAACAATTGATACCAAAATATTCAATCTAAATTACAATAAATAGCAAGGTGATAAGAAATATATGAAAAATTACCAAAAAACCAAAAGGTAAGCGTTATTCTATCCTTTCTGGATAGATCAAGTGAGACTTCGTTTGAGCGGCTAGTTTATAACACAATGTGTTTCAATTTCTGGGAAAGTGCTCCAAATTACAACCAAAAATGCACGATCCCAGTCAAAATCAAACCGCACAATCAAATAGCGAGCAGCCAATATGGCAGATGCCAGAATAATAGCAATGAAAACAAACTAGATACAGCTCAGTAAGGAACATAGAGACTCAATAAAAACGATAGTAAAACCAAGAAATTTTAACGTTACAGTCTTAATTAGTATCAAAAATGTTAACAACATATACAAATAAAAAACACTTAAGGAAGAAATCACAAATGTGTGCATGGAGGGATTTTCACTTGCAAAATGGATCCAACATTAGTATACTTCAGTATCAGTAAGGTTCTAATAGTAAACCTAATCCTAAAATTGTAGATTTGTCATGATGTAACTGTCTGATCTATAAGATCCTATTATTATGCTGAGGAGTCTCATAATAGGACGAAACGGCCGTCCAGTGTTTCCAGGTTTTCCTCGGTGGTCTAGCTTCAATTGACTTATGCTTTCAACTATGAAACATACCAAATCTCCACAAAACCCCTTCTAATAATTAATAAATTAATAACTTACTATTGCGGTAAGATATGACTTTAGAATAAGTATTCGTGCCGTCATAGTTTGGAGTGATGCTATGAAGGTCTCAACAAAGTGCGAAATATAATCAATATATATGGGTCGTATATGCATAGTGAAGATAAAACGAGTCTGAGAAGTTGATTTAAGCGTAACACAAGTTATTGTTTTAATTACAAACTTCGTAATCTTAAAAACAATATTCATTAAGAAGGAAAAAAGAGAGAAAAGAAATGGACACCCAGTGAAAAGGTTCAACCACGATAATAACAGTGTTATAAATATAAACCTCTGAAGTGAACCAATATTTTTTTAGACAGGAAAAATGTCCTTGCGCACTCTCACCCTTTATCTCTCTCCTAGTGATCGACTGGATTATGAAGACGTCAACATATAGGAGAAAGCATGAGATACAGTGGACAGCTAGGATGCACCTGGACGATCTACATTTCGCAAATGATCAGGCCCTCCTATATCCAACTCAACAACAAATGCAGGGAGAAACGACCAGTGTAGCAGCAGCCTCAGAAGCAATAGGCCTCAACATACACAAGGGGAAAAGCAAGATTCTCCCATACAACACAACATGCATCAATCAAATCGCACTCGACGGAGAAGCTTTGGTGGACATAAAAATCTTTACCTATCTAGGCAGTATCATTGATGGACACGGCGGATCTGATGCAGATATGAAGGCGCGGATCGGCAAAGCAAGAGCAGCATATTTACAACTGAAAAAAAACATCCGGAACACAGAGCAACTGTCAACCAACACGAAGATCAGAATTTTCAATACAAATGTCAACACATTTCTACTGTATGGGGCGGAAACTTGGTCAACTACGAATGCCATCATCCAGAAGATACAGGTGTTTATTAA